GTCCCCGGGCCCGGGCAGCAGCAGGTGACTGGGCCCGTGCGGTACAGGCCAGGCCAGAGGCCAGCACCGCTCCCCTCATCCCAGAGCCGGGTCTCAGGGCCGAGTCTCAGGGCCGACCATGCCTCCCTCCCGTGCCACCCTCCTTCTGGGTCTGTGGAGTCCCTTGTGGCTTCTGGGCCGCGGGCTTCTCAGAGAAAGGAACGGAAGAAATAGGAGGGACACTAGGGTTTGTCTCCAGGGACCCCTAGGTCCCGCAAGCCCCAGGATGAGGCTCTGGTCCAGGCTCTCTCGAGGGATTCCAGGAACTCGGCCATGCCTGCCCAGAGAGAACCGCAGACGCCCTGGCCCTTCCCCAGGCCTGGGCTTCCTGGGAGGGCTGATTGGCCCAGCCCCGTGGTGGCTCACAGGAGGGGCAGGAGGCTTGCCCGGCAGGCAGCCCTGCGTGGTGGAGGCGTTTTGGGTCTTTGTGCTCCCCGCTGTGGGGGTGGGCCCGCATGGGACGGAGACAAGACTGGGGAGGCTCGGGGCGCCCTGGGCTGGGCCGCACGTGTCCACCGCGGGATATGGCACCGGAGAGGATCTTGGGTCAGGCGCCGCCTTGCCCAGAAAGGGCCAGGTTAGCCCGGGGTGTGTGCCCTTGCAAGGATGGGTCTGGGGTGGCAGGCGGCCTGTCCTGGCACCTGGGCGCTCCTTGGACACAGCTGGGGGCGGCACTGCGTGTGTCTTGGAGAAGCGCGTCACGGGTGGATCCTGGGACCCAGCCCAGGCAGAGCGCCTGGCTTTGTGGCTCCGTCCGAGGGTGGAGGTCGCGTGTGACCGGCCCGGCCCGGCCCTCCCCCCAGGTGGTGTACTACGTGTTTGCCATCATTGGGATCAGCTTGTTTCGGGGCGTCATTGTGGCTCCTGGGAACAGCAGGTAAGACAGGTCTTCAGGGGCCTGGAGCCTCTCCGGGGGCGGGAGGCCTCAGGGTGCCAGGTGGGCCGGCGTGTCAGGGGCCCTTCACCTCCCCACACCTGGCGTCTGGGGACACACTCGGCCTGCCCAGGACCGCACCCCCCGCCCCCGCCCCTCTTGGGAACGCCAGGCCTGAGCGTGCTGGCTGGGACGGGTGTCGGAGCCTCATCCCTGCCCTGACCTGGCGTGCCGTGTCCCCA